CGGTCGCCCGTCCCGCCCCCTCCCCCCGCTTGAGTTCGACCGCCGCGCGTCTCAGTTTGAGCCCGGCGCGTTGGGCGGGGCCGAAGGGACGGGCGCCCAGGTGGTGCCGGGCGAACTCGTCCGCCGTGAGGTCCGCAAAAGGGTTGTGGAAGAAGGAAAACTCGGCGTGAGGGTTCGCGCGGCTCAGGCGGTGGGACCGCTGCGCGTTCGCGAAGAAGATGCGGAGCCGGTGGGCTTCCTCCTCAAGGCTCGCGTAAGTCTTCCGGTGGAGTCGCTTAAACTCCTGGAAGACGTCTTCGAACCTGTTCTCCACGGTCAACGCGGTGGCCTCGCCGATCAGGAAGACCACAAGAAGTACGAGCAACGCCGTGGCAAGGTGAAACCGCAATGTCATTGATATGAATTAAAAAAAAAAAGAGTGGAATGAATAAATAGTATAAAGTAGATTTCTATTAGTAAAGGGACTTTCAACAACTTTGCTATAAAAAGTTTAAAAAAGAGGGAAGTAAACGCATCCATGGCGAAGGATTCCGGAAATTTCTCAGCCCCAACACACCTTTCTCCATGATTTCCTTTCAATTAGCTTTATAATTCCAATATATTTCAATGTTTCAGCAGTCTCGAATAGTTTAACTAGGAACATACCTCTTTCTCACCGATCTCCTTTTCATGTAGGCTCCACTCATAGAAAGGCTAAATTGATCAGAAGTCCGCTCATTTAAATTCAAAATAAACCAGCGAGTGAGTCGAAGAAACTTATACATATATTCATCCTCCATTGAAGGGATGTTGATAAAAAAATAACAGTTATAGATGGGAATTTACTAACGCCCACAAAAGTATTATAATGATGTAATGAAAAATGCATTCCGATCTCGAACATACGATTGTAAAAATCACTGATGAAATAAAATCACTAAAATAAAAGAAGTAAAGCTTAAATGTAAGAAACTGAAATTTGAGCTATGCTGATCACATTTGGTGTGATTAATTAATTCCAAAAATTGCGATAAAGTCTAAATTGAAAAATTTACTGATAAAAAAAAAGCATTTCGACTACAGTTAGTAGTCTAAATTTTCGGATCGCTAGGATTGAGAGGTAGTACCTTTTCGGAAAAAATTTACCCTTCTCAGTATTTTCCTAGTCTGCTTAAACCTTTTCCTCAGTCGGATTAGCATACATCTCAATAAAGCACTAGTATCCACTTCGCTCGCGACTGAGGTGTTGCTGGTGGGTCTAGACCGCGTGCATTCGTCTGAAACAAGACAACGGCTGAGCCCAGCTTTATTTTCGTTTGGTCTTAAGCACTATCTGCATTCTTTGTCGAAGTGACATTCTCTCTGGGAAACTTGGACCTAATATTGCCCATGTTTTTCTGTCGCTTGATGTTATCCTGTTTTGTTAACAGTCAGATTCAGAAGGTTCTTGGTAGCCGACCAAGATTCGTTTTTATTAGACTTTCCTTTCGTTCTCTGCGGGTCAACTGGCTGTGTGACATAATAACCTGAGGATAAAATGTTTGTAACCATCTTGGTATTCAGCTTATTATTGGCATCTGCTTGTATCAGTGCGCTTACTGCTTCTAGCATGCGTTTCCGATACCCTTCCTTGTAGGCTAGTTTAGGTGTGGTATTATTCTTTTTCCCACCATTCTGCTTTGACGCTTGTGCATCTGATACAGGAATGATCTCTTTATCCATAATACTCTCAATTTGGGTCCGTGTTTCATCTTTTTGCAGTGTGCGTGCAACGGCATTTAAGTGCTCCAGCATTTGATTTCGCGCATGGTATGTCGGAAAAGCACGAGTACCGACGCAAAAAAACTGCAGGCGAACGAGTGGATCATCAAATGGGTACACGAGCTCCAGTCCGAGTACATCTTTCTCTCCTTTCGGCGTACATGGGTTTAGATTTTCCAACGCATTCTGGAAAATTCCCTTAGCTTGTGAAACACGTCGGGAAAGCTCTTTCGACCATGAGCTCATGGAAAGCTGAGGCCGCGATTTCACTTTATTTTTAGACCTATTATTCTTTGCTTTATCATGGTCAGTGTTGTCTTCACGATTATTGATGCTAATTTCAGAAGACAGAGTGTCTGTGTTCGATATGCTGTAATAAAAATCTGAATTTGCCAAAAAGACAACACGATCGTTGGCGGTAATGCCCTTTGGAGGCACTTTGAGAACTTCACTGAATGCAGCCCAGATTTTGTTGCCTTGGGGATCCGCCGCCTTCGACAGGGGATGCTGCCGCGGTGATTCAAAGAGTCTTTTGGAAGGGCATGCGATCAGGCATCCTTCATCCTCGATCATCTGGTCAACGTCGAACCACAAATCGCTTAGTCGATGATGCATCTCGTACCCCGCGAGCGCCTCCCCATGCGCCGCCTTCAGTGCTTTGCGCAGATTCCCGACAGTATCCATCCCACCCGTGGCGCTTCCAACCAGGTGGCGATACATCGCGACGCGCAGGACCTCCTCGTACTTCTCTAAAAGCGGATCCAAAAGGAGGCTGTAACCGAGACCCCCACCGAAAGAACCAGGATGCAAGCTCATCTGATGGCAGAGCCCGTAGGCGGCCCGAATTTGCTTCACCGTCCAGCTCGCCTTCATAGGAGAAAGGTGGCGACCTAGGTTCAGGTCCTTCTCATACGGGTCGTCAATGCAGATGCCGTGGAAAATGCGATCTTTTAACTTGATCAAATCCACATCCCGGGATTTCTCCCACCCGAAATCCACCTTGGTGGAGATGTTTTTGGCATCACTGCAGTCCTTGCGGATAGATATCACGTGTCGCTCCCAGTCGAACCACGTATAGAATTCAAAAAAACTGAACAGTAATTTTCCAAGTCTGCTGATATATTCCGTGTGATCATCCTCGGCGTAGCGCTCCCAGAGTGGCATGTACGTTACAGACAATTGAGACTCGGTCGGGAATTCGGATACCTTCAGAGGGTCCACAAACTCGGCATGCCCAGAACGGAGGAGGAAGTACACCCACATCACATTGATAGCGTAGCTTGTGAGATACCCTCTCCTTGAGTTGTTAATCCCACACTGTTTGCTCCACTTTTTGAGGAAGAGGGCACCAATGCGGAAAAGAGAATTCTGAGCGAAGTACTGACGCAAGAACCAGCTGTTACGAACTCCTTTAATGTTACAGGTGATATCAAAATCGATCGAAAAAATTTCTGGTCGCTCACCCTCGTGGCTCCAACATTTCGAGACGCCCATACCTTCCTTCTGAGTGAACAATCTTATCGCATCAACTCCTTTTCCGAATCTGTACACTTCCTTGAGCTTTCTCGAATCCTTTTCTTTGATATTCACTCCGTGATAGTCATCCTCGATTATTGAATTAAACCTCGTGACAAAGTGTGCGTGTGCCTTGTTGTCTTTGAAGTGATATTCAATAATGTAAGATGAAGCATTGAGGCTTCTCGTGTAAGGTCGGTTTACCGCACACTTCCGCCGAACGACAGGCACACGAGCACCAAAGACTCCCTCCAGCTCTTGAAACTTGAATCCAATTCCACGTAGTTTTTTCATGAGATACAACAATGATTGTCTTATAACAGTCTTCTTCGTTTCTTCCTTCTGTTTTTCCAGACTAGCCTTGGAAATCAGCGCAAAATCTCCGTCGGACATTCCATCCCAACACCCCAAGGAAACACAGCTGCCGTAAGGAAACACATAATACTTATCCATTTGGATGTTATTTAACTGTTCGCAAGTGTTCTGCATAATGCGAAACATGTTTTCGTTGAGACTCGTGGAGTATACGGAATTGTATACGAAATTACCAAAGTCAAGCATCTCTGGGAAGGATTCTGCACACTTTGTTAGAATGGGGTGGGCCTCATACGCTTCGGAGTGCTCGTGAACGATGTGCAGGCTCATATCGGTGTTGATGATGGCGTTGCATAGTTCACAAACGACGTAGCCAGTTTTCTCAGGTGCAACGTTGATAATATTTAAGATATCCTTGCATTTATCATTGTCAGAAATTGGTTCATCTATGCCGCTTTCCTCAGAATTTACTTCAATGTCGTTGCAATTATTTTCTTCAGCGCATGAGATTTCTTCCCCATCACACAAACTCATGCTCATGCTGATATCCTTCACATGATGTACTTCATCGTACATGTTTCCGGACGCTCTTTCGATCAAATACGTCGTAAGTTAAGTGTTGGGCTCACTGTTGCTTCTGAAAAGTAGATAGACTCCTAGGGGTTCGATAATTATTAGTAACCCGTTTCTTTAGCGTAAGAATTTTATACCGTTAATATTTCACTTCTCTCTTTGATTTTGGTGATTAGCGATGATGATACTAAGCCGACCTTGTAGTTCGAATATTATTCAAAGGACAACAAAATATTAATAATACCGCCACAGAATGACAAAAGAAAGGTATGAGTGGAACTTTGTGAGGCAATAGGAAAATATATAATGGTTGCATTTCCATTATCGCTAGCAGCCTCCTCAAGCTCTCTGCCGTATTCTAGATGGTAGAAGAAGGTTTTACTAAATGATATACATAAAGTTTTATTCCCAGCCGCTCTCTCATTCCAGATAAAAATGATAAGGAGAAAGACTTATTTCATCGAGCTCTATGCTAGGAAGTATTGTTGACCAGTGTTTGGTCTGTTTGTGCAAATCAAAAGTAATAAGTAAATCCATAAGCCATCTGATCAGACGATTTTTCGCTAAAAAAAAGCTGAAGTCAACAATTAAAATGACTAAATGTAGCTAAAATGGCCCCACAGGGTAAATCTGAGTGGTTTAGGCGGACCCTGTGTTACAAAAAAGACGAAGAATTTTAACACCCATTTCTCCTTTCGTATTTCATTATTAGTGAATTGGTATTACTAGAAATTGATTAAAAACAACTAATCGATCTAGATGTTTCAAGGGAAATTCTTATAAATAAGGAGGCATGTTCTGTTTTGTAAAGCAGCTCCCCATTTTCCCTACACCCTTACTTTACTGCGCAGATTATTTTTGATCACCACTGTTAATCAACAAACGACACAAAAAATATTTCAGCTTTTGATGAAAGAATGGAATCTAAATGTAGATGAAGTTTGCACACAAACTGCAGGGTGAATCTGCCGAAAAGCGCCCAACATACTCAGGGAGTAATAAAAAGATTCTTGTCCACTGACATCAACATCAGTGATAATATAACATTAGCCTTCTATTGCTCAAAGTTTTTAGAGCGGGGGAGGGGGGTCTTTTATTCGCTGCTTTACCTTTGTTTTGACCTGTATTATTTGTGTGCGTTGGATCCTGAATCTTCATGACAGAGATTGCGTGGTGCCAATAGACCCTCTGTACACAATTCCTTCACATTATCTTTTATGAAAAAACCTTCATTCACTAGCACTTTGCTAGCTTAGACACTGCTGCATCGTGAAGATTCTTTTGAAATTTGTTGGTGATTGGCATTTCGATCGCCTTCTGATACCATATCTTAGCCTCTGCCTTCTTTTTATCATAATAATACACATCGCCGATGAGCACCGCGTTATGAATCGTATTCCCCATCTCGGCAGAGGCCAACAGGTACTTCAAGCACTCCTCCACACTCGACTTTGGAGGCGCTCCGAAAAGCAGTTTTGCGGCCTTCTGCTCTACCCAGCTTACTTTCAGCACCGACCAACACCATTTCCCCATACAATGGAGTGAGTTTGCATCCTTAGGGTTCAATTCTAATGCCTTCATAAAGTGGTCCCGGATGATATACGCGTTCTCAATCTTTTTCTTATTACCGACGTCTTGTGCGGAGAGAAGGATCCCAAGCCACTTGTGTGCGGCAAAGTTGTTCGGATCCTCCGCGACGGACTGCTGGCATAACGCCAGCCCTTTTTCCAGGTAGGAGGCGGATATTTTTTTATCCGAGGACTCCTCTGCCATCTCGTAGTAGGAGCGACCCAAGCGCCAGAGAATCTCCGGATGCTGCATCCCATTTTCATAGGCATCGGTTAAGATGGTATGGCACCCCTCAATGCTAGGGCTGGCGAGCACCGCGTCTGCGCGTTCCGCGACGGCCTTCCAGTCGGTGTTGGACATATTTTTAGGGGAGTGAGGTGTCTTTTGGTCTCTCAAGATCGATCCGGCTACCGGTGTACGAAAGCGAATAGTCGTTTCAGAATGGTGTAAAGTAATTGAAACAAGTTCTTTACTATATATATATATATATATATATATAATTAAAATAACAAAAGGTAGGATAATAGTAGT